TTCCCCTACGTCCGCCACCCCAGTGCATTTTAGAGCATGCATGTCCTGGGGAGACTCCTGCCCTGCGCTTCCCTGCTGTGTGGCTTCAGGCAAGTGCCTTCCCCTCTCTGAACCTGGCAAATGGGAATTCTGACAGCTCCTTCTGCAGAGAGCTGCTGTGAGCACAGCGTGCTGAGATATGCAGATATGCAGCTTGGCTGTGAAGGGCCCTGTGCAGAGGCTCCTGCGGCTGCTGCTGGAGGAGGGCCGCACTGATCGAGGAAGAAAAGGCAGCTGGGCCTGCTCTGTACGCTGGGGTGGAGAGGCCTAAGCTTGCCTGAGGCGGTCAGGGGACTCCTTCAGGAGGGGTGGGCAGCCAGGCCAGACAACGGAGGGAAGGGTGCGTCTGGCAGCCCAACAGCCTGTGCCTAGGGGGATCCCTGGACCCACGTACAGGGAAGGCTTCAGGATGAAGGAAGGGCAGAGCCTGAAGTTATCACACGTGGCTCTCAGGAGGCCTCGCTGGCTTCAGCCTTCCGTCGGAGAACAGGCAGGGTGGGGGAGAGTGGGCAAGATGAGGCTGATGAAGGTTTGGAGCAGGGTGGGGGCCTCTCAGAGCCGTAAGGAAGTGAATGCTGGTGACAAGCCGGCCATGGGGGATGGTGGGAGCAGTCCGAGGAGTTGGGTGCAGCCTGTTCCAGGGCCCCACGTGACCTGACCTCAGCCGCTGCAACCCCGGGTCCACCCTCCCCGGCCTCCGGCTTCTGCCCCTGCACCCTCTCCACAAGAATGCCCTTCTGTCTCCCATCACTGTTTTTCGAGCATCCTCTTTGCCCTCATCCTTCAAGGTCCAGCTTAAGTTTCTAGAACATTCTATGGCTCCTTGAGTCACAGCCCAGCAGCCAATGAGGGGCCTGGCACATGGGTGGAGCCACAATTAGCCCCTTGCCCACCCACAGCTGCCAACCAGCCCCCGGCGGCCCTCCTGGGCCAGAATAGCTGGACACAGGCCTGCCACAGGAGCCAGGCCAATGTCGCCAGCCCACAGGTCAGGCCGGACTCAAGCCGAGGGCCACAGGGCCCTCATCCCACCCTCCTCACACAGGAGAAAACAAAGGAATGGCCTGGGGCTGCCCCCAAAATGACAGAGCCAGGACTCCAACCCCGATTTCCCAGCGTCAGGATGAAGAACACAGGCTCTGGAGTGAGACATCCAGGCTCCCTCCCGGCTCTAGCACTTCCAAGCCACAGGACCCCTGAAAAGCAACTGGCCCACTCCAAGCCTTGGTTTCTGCTTCTATAATTTGGGGATAGCCTGAGCCCTCACCCCAGCTAGTTGTACAAATGTGGCATGGCCCTGGCACACTTCAGCTTGGAGGCGTGAAGTCAGTGCTGTGATGCTGTTGCTGACAGGCCCCGGAAAGGGGAGCGGAGGCTGGGAGCCCTTAGACCATCTCAGAGTGCCTCCTCCCTAAACCCCAAATGTACAGGGCTCACCAACTCACAGGAGGACCTCCCCTAAAACAGACCCAGCATCAGGGGCAGGGCTGAGGCATAGGAAGGCATTTGCCCCCCCACACTCCCCCCCATCCCCAGTAGAAGACTGGACTTCTATGTGCACTGACCCAGCCCCCCCTGCATACCCCCACTGCTCGAACTCCAAAAATGTCTTCTTCTGGCTGAGGTCATTTTCAGAAGAAGGCAGTCTCTGAGCCACTGCCAGACAGCACTTCCTATGTGCTCCAGGGCCTGCTCTCCCTGGAAGCCTGCAGGGCAGAACCTGATGCAGGCTGAGTGCAATTCCAGTTTCCCCACCAGGGAGAACCTGCTGCGGGCTGAGTGCAATTCCAGTTTCCCCACCAGTGACTTTGGTTGGGAATCTCCACACATCTCGAGAACATGCAGGGGCAGGTGGAAGCGGGGTCACAATGGACAGCAGGTGGGGGATGGAGGTACCAGGCAGGCTCCGCCCAGACAGTCTCAGCAACCCCACCTCATCAGGGAGTCCTGCAAAGCCCCACTTGGATGTCACCTCCTAATTTCCCCAGGCAGAGGCAGCCACTCCTGCTCCACAGTCCCCCCCAGGCCATCCTCTAGACAGCGTGCTTTGTTTCTCTGCCTCCGTGTGTGGTTATCGCCGTGACCTTCCTGAGGGTTTGGCGGTGAGTGCAAGGTCCTGTGGCTTTACCACTGAGCACCAGCAGCGCCCCTCACGGCTGCGGTTTTCTCATCTGTAATAATGCCGCCCCCTGGGGCAGGTAGCGGGGCACAGTGTAGAAGGAATCTGCTCCAAAAACAGCCCTGGCTTGGGCCAGCGGAAGGGTTAGGGGACCTGTGACCGGTGCAGGGGCACAGGGCCTGAGCTGGGAAGGGCACTATGCTGGGCTCAACTTCCTGCCTTTGATGTCCTGGCGTTGTTGAGTTGTGGTGGAGGGGGCTCCACATTTTCATATTTTCATTTTGCATGGGGCTCTGCAAGGGACGGAGCCGGGGCAGCAGGCTGTGGTCTGGACCCGCCGCCCGCCTCAGTCGCTGGCTGCCCTGGGCGTGTCCCTCCTTCTCTCGAGGAATCCATGTTTTCTTCTATATATGGGATCATAGAAATAAACCAGATCGGGTAAGAAGGCAGCCAAAATGTTTACCCCTTGTCTCCTCCTGCAGCCTAGACAGACATCGGTCAGGGATGATCATGGCTGTCACCTCTAACCCTCAGAACCCACCTCAACACAGATCTCCAGCCGTTCCAGCAGCGCCAGCCTGGGTGCTACTCGCTGTGTGTGGAGCCTCAGACCCAGCCCAGCGCCAGCCCATGGCCGCCTCCTCCAGTAACTCCTCTAACTCCCAGGGCCCCATCCCCTAAAGTGGCCTCCTTTAGGGAAGAAGGCAAGGCCCAGTAGGAAACCCAGACAGGTGGAGGCTCTATCCAGTTGACAAACACTGGGGAGGGGGGGGGTCCTGCATTGAATGAACCAATCAGACATGGGCCCCACCCCCTCCAGAGGGCAGCTGTGGGAAGGCCGCACCCACTAGACACGGACAGAGCAGGGAGAGCTGGAGGAGCTGTGTGACCCTGGGCAGCTCTCTTGGCCTTCTGGCCTCAGTGTTCCTGTCTGTCCATGGCAGCAGGCACGGCAGGGGGACACGTATCCAGGGATATACGCTTGCCTCTCCTTGCCCACCTGCCACTCTCCTATGCTGGGGAGAGAGCCCGGGCTCTGGGGGTAAGCCTCCACTTCTCCTCTTCGTTGGAGCCGGGCAGAGGTCAGAAATTGGCATGCGATGGGGTCTCAGGAGCTCCCAGCAGGCTGGCGAGTGTTTCACCAGTCTCACTATGCGATGACATCATCTGGTGAGATGGGTCCTTCCTGAAAGCCCCTGGGCCCACTCATTCCCCGTGTCTTATGCATATGGGGGATGGGGAGCAGGTAGCAAGTGCAGGCTGAGAACATTAAAAGGAAATGATACAACTCATTAGGGAGTGGGGACAACCCCTCAATGAGTGACCCTGAGCAAGTCCCTGAGGCGTTTCCTCACTGGAAAGTGGAGGTGGGGCTCTCGGATGCCATGAACACACCCCAAAGAGCAACAGCCTCAGTACTCCACTTCCAGGCCTGAGCTGACAGCATCCCGCGCAGAAACCTCGCTGACCTCTGAATGCTCCAAGAGGGTGCTGTGACCCGGGCGCTGTGGCACCCCTCCTTCGTGGGTCACCTGTGGGTCACCCTGGAGAGGTTCGGTAAGGAAAGAGGCCCCAAGATGCAAAGCCCAGGGCTGCCAGCTCCCGCGCCCCCTCCTCGATTTCCAGCCTGGACTGAGCTTACAGGGGAAGACCCGAGGTCCCGCTCTCCTTGTGGTCCTGATGGCGGGGACCGACACCATCTGGGGTCGCAGACCCCGTGTGCTTTCACCGCAGTCTGGGACGGAAGTCCCCACCTCGGCCCGAATCCGCTCCACACCCCAAGTCTGTCCCAAGACAAACGTCGGCGTCAAGACCTCGGGCTTCCCGACCCGGTCGTCACTGCCCCCACCGCGCACGTGGAGCGGGCTGCGGAGCCCAGGGGTCTGGGGCGGGACCAAGGGCTGGGGGCGGAGTTACAGGGCGAGGGCGGAGCCTCGGCGTCCCAGGGCCCAACCAGGTCGGGTCAGGTTTGGGGACGGAGCTGGCACCAAGAGGTGGGCCAGAGGGGCCTGGAGCCCGGCTGGATGAGATGCCGCGGGGCAGCAGAACCGAACAGGCCTCAGAGTCCCCAGCCAGGCCTGGGGACATGGCCTCCGGGCAAAGCAGGAGTGGGGGAGGCTAGAGGTCTCCCGGGGCGGGGGCGGGGCGGAACCAGGAAGGGGCGGGTCCTCGAGGTGGGGCGGGGCCAGTGCCTTGAAGGCCCAGCCGGACAGGGGCGGGGCCGTGGCGCTGGAGGCGGAGCCAGCGCCCTGAAAGGTTGGACGGGCGGGGGCGGGGCCGTGGTGCTGGAGGCGGAGCCAGCGCCGGGAAGAGCCGGGCGGGCGGGGGCGTGGCCGCGGCGCTGGGGGCGGAGCTGGAGTGGGGCCGGGGCGGGGCGGGAGGTGCGGCGGCCGACGTCGCTCAGACCCCGCCCCGCCCCGCGCCTCCCGCCCGCCCGGAGCGCCCGAGCCGTGGCCGCCAGCTCCGCCGCTCGCCGCCCGCGGGTTCCATTGAGAAAAGCCGAGCGGCGGCGGCGGCGAGTGCGCTGGAGCAGAGGAGCCGGCACCCGTCCCCGGGGCAGTCCGCGCGCCCGCAGCGCCGGACCGTAGCCTCGGGCCTCCGCGGCGGTGCCAGCGGCTCCCGGGCCGGGCGCGCGGGCTGGGGACGCGGGCCGGGGCGGCCGCGGAGACCGGGGGCCGGGGGCATGAGCGGCCCCGCGGTCCCGCCGCGCCCCCGCCGCCCGCCGCCGCCCGCCCGGGGCTAGAGGCGGCCGCCGGGAGGGCGCGCGGCGCCAGAGACATGTCCAGGAGGAAACAGAGCAACCCCCGGCAGATCAAGCGTGAGTCAAACTTTGCCCGCCGTCCCCGCCGCGCGCCCGACACCCGCCGGGGCCCCGCCGCCAGCGCCTCCCCCGCGCACCCCCCCCGTCTCCGCTCTGCCCCGGGCGCTGGCGACCTTCACCCCGCGCCGCGCCCCCCGCGCTGTGCCAAGCGCGCCGTAATCTAATCTCTGCCGGCAGCCCGGGCCCCCGCGTCTCGGCTTGGGCACCGGGGGTCCAGCCCAGGAGGGGGCTGCGCAGAGGCTGGGAGGAGGGTGGTTGGGGGCGCGGCCCGGGCGGCGCCCGGCCCCTCGCGGCCTGCCCCTCCCCCGCATCTGTGAGATGGTGCGGTGATAGGGCGGCCCCGATCTGGGCTCAGATAAAGTTTAAAATATTCCATTCTGCAAGTCCCGTCCTGATAAGATCGTTCTGTCGGGACGGGCTGAAATTGTGATCTTATCTGGCGCGGTTGACTCTCCCAGGCTTTCTATGTAGAAGCAGAGAGAGAGACCTGGGAGGGAGAGGGGACACCCGGGGCCGCGTGGAGATGCCTGGTCAAGTGGCAGGGACCCGCCCGCGCCCACCCCACCGGTGCCGCTGCAGAGCCGCAGGACAGGGGAGGGGGCAGCGCGCAGCTGCCGCAGCCTAGGCACTTGGCTCCAGCCCCCCAGCTTCCCCTTCCCCGGCCCCTGTGCCCTAGCGCCGGGGTTCTCAACCCAAGCCCTGCTTGCCTGGCGACACCTCCTGGACCCTGCAAGTGTCCCAGCCAAGGCGACATGGGCCGCAAATGGTGCCCTTGGCATCCCAGGGGGCTGCTCCGGTTCAGAGAAGCGCCTCCCAGGACGCAGCCCCGGGCCGGGGTCGCCCCTGCACGCGACCAAGTTTCTCGCTGGTCCGGCTCCCTGCGGGGTCAGAGGCTGCTGCCCCGCCGCCACATTGCCGGTGCCCCAGCGGTGAGAACTGCGCTGTCGGGACCACTGTCTGGCCTGGGCCTCTGGGTTTTACCAGGAGAAAGCGAGCGCACAGGAAGCGCCCCTCCCCACCCTACGCCAATAATAACTTTGCGCCTCCAACGTAGGGCCGAGGCGCAGGTCTTCTTCCCCGTGGCGCCTCCTCGGAGCCTGACCGGCAGGTTGTTTGAGCCCTGCCGGGAGGCCACGACGAAAACCCGCCCGCTGCCCAGCCGCAGGCGCCCGGACACTGCCTCCTTTGTCCACACGCCCGCTGCCACCAGGACCCCTTGTGCGGAATGGGGATCACAGGCATGAACCGGGTTCCCGTAACCCAACTCCCCCGAGCAAACGGGACCTGTTTTCCGAAAGTCGCCTTCTATCATGTCAACTCAAGTATTAAAAACCACCCACAGGTCCCGATCTGCGCTGGTTCTCTGGTTTCTTTTTCCTTCCTCCCCTGAGCGCCTCTGTTGGGTTCTGGGGCGCGCGCGCGCGCGTGTGTGTGTGTGTGTGTGTGTGTGTGTGTTTCGCTGTGATGAGAAATGCAGATAGCTCCGGCAGGGAGATCGCAGGTTGGGAACCGATCACCAGAGTTGATAAGGCCGCCAGCGCCAGCGAGAGCACGGAGCTCAGCCCATCAGGGCGGGCAGAGCGCGCGCACTTTGAGAACTGGGACCGCGGCGGGTGCACTGTGCGCCCTCGCGGGGCATCCTGGTTGCGCCCTGGGACCGGGCTGGGGAAGGGCCCGAACGAGGGAGGCGGGGCCGCTCGCCGCCGGGGGCGCCTCCTCCCCTTGGCAGATCTCAGCACGTTAAGATGCGGAGGCTGATTGTCACCAAGCGGCGGCCCCCGCCCGCCCTCCGCCAGCGCCTGTGCGTGCCCCCTGCCCTGGGCTCACCTGCGGCCCGGCCAAGAGTGCGGAGGGGCGGGGGCCGAGCGCCTTGGGCCGCCCACCCCCACCCGCGCCCCCATCAAAGCCCTGGCGCAGCTGCCCGCGCCTCTGTGCGCCTTTTGTTCCGTGCGGAGATAGATGTGCCGCGCTGATAAGGCGAGCAACCGATGGTGGCTGCGATAGGCGCTTCCATTTATTAACTTCAAACGTGGGAGCGGGGGCAGGGCGAGGCGGGAGCGCGGCCTTGGCCGGCCAGATGGCGAAGGCGATAGGCCGGGCCGCCTCGGGGAGCGCGGGGCCGGGGCAGCTCGGGACCCCCAGCGCCCCCAGCCCGTCGGGCTTTCCTCCCGCCCGAGTCGATGTGAGCTCCGATAAGCGCTGGGCCGGTCTGCCCGATGGCGATCGCCAAGAGCGATAAGAGGCCTTATCTTTGGCCACCAGGCCCGGCCGGGTTGGAGAACAGCGCGGGGGCGTCGAGGCTGGGGCGAGTGGGGGTATGGAACGGCCCGGGTGGGGGCCGGGGGACCGGCGTCCCTGCGCTGGTCTGTCTGGGGGAGCTTTCTCCCCAAACACGCTTAATTACCAAGAAGTTGATCCTCCCCTGTGGCCGGTGGTACAGTCCATCAAAATGAAAGAAAACTGACTTTGCCCTGGCCGGGAGGGGGAGCGGGAAGGACACCCCGCCCCGATTCCTCTTAGATGGTGCGAGACCGCTGGAGGTGGGTTTGTCACCTCCAGAGAGAGGAGAGGGTGTTTTCCCCTTGAATCATGCTGGTGTTGTTGGCAGTTCCTGGCAAGAACAAGTGTACGCTGCTTGGAGTTTTCTTAAAAAAAAAAAAAAAAAAATCAAGGTGGTTTCCATGGCCCAGGCTGCTCTGGGGGAGGCCAGTGCGCCCTGTTGAGGAGGCACTGCAGACCTGTCTGGGCTGAGCACTGTTTGCTGAGCACTGCTGCATGCAGGCTCTGGGTCCCGGTGGCAAATGAGAGGGGCTGAGGACGTCAGAAGGGGCAGCAAAGGGGAGCAGGGGGCACGTCTGGTGGTCAGGGACACTTCTTGGAAGGAGGTGATCTTTGGCACTGCAGGGCTGGCCTCAGTTTCTCCACTGCTGTCAGGGGAGTAGGGGCCAAGAGGCACCTGCAGGGGGACAGCCCGTGCCAGCAGGCAAGGGTGAGGTCAGGGGAGTGGTGGAGGCCAGGCAGGTCCTCAGTCTCACACTCTGAATAATGGAGTCAGGACTAGGACCTGGGACTGGGGGTCCCCCAGGTCAGGCTGGAGATATTGAGGGTCCTCAGAGGCCCTTTGCAGTGGAGGGTCCCATGGATCCCCCATGCCAGATAGAACCCTAGGCCAGCTGGGTAGGGCCTTCCGGAAGGAGCCAGGGGGGTGGGGGGGTTGTCCCTGAGCCCCTCCCGTCCCAGCCCAGGCAGCTGCTGCAGCTCAGAGGAAGGTGTTTTTCACACACTCTCAGAGTTTGATTAAACAAATTATTGGTAGCCACAGGATGACTAATTCACTCCAAACTTCAAAGTCACCCACCTGCTCTGCCCAGCACCCACCCGTGGGGCTGGCGGTGCCATCTGGCAAGGGCCAATTCCAGTTCCAGAGAGGGCTGAGGGGCCCAGAAGGAGATGGGGTGGTTTCTGTGTCGTATTATGACCATGAGCTGGACGTCTGCACACAGCCATCCACACTGGGCTCCTGTGTGAGGTAGGCACTTGGGTGTCCAGGCTCTCAGGGGCCACCTTACCACACCCACTACCCAGGGGGGTGGCAGAGCATCCAGGAAAGAGGAGACTTTGGGGGCCTGGCTGACCCTGGTGCCTAACCACTGGGGACAAGCTACTGTGCCTTCCAGGGCACCGTTTCTCCCGTCCGAAAAACGGGTATGACTGTCTGCCATCCAGGGGCTCAGGTCCTGCCCTCAGCTTACCTAGTCCTTGGCCCAGTCACCCCGTCCCTGGTCACCACCCCAAAGGGAGCGATGCCTGCACCTGCCTGGCTCTTAGGCTGCAAAGCCATCGCTGTCACCTCAGTCCTGGTCCCAGACACATTTTTCTCTCTCTTTTTTTTAAAATCAAATTTAAAAAAAAAAATAGACATGGAGTCTCACTATGTTGCCTAGGCTGGTCTTGAACTCCTGGGCTCAAGGTATCCTCCCAGCTCAGCCTCCCAAGCACTGGGGTTCCAGACATGAGCCACTGCACCTCCCCTCAAGCCATGTTTAGCAGAGAGAATTAGAGATCAGGAGGGCCTCTCAAGGCTCCCCCACCCCTAAGCCTGGACTCCAGCAGAGTCAGGCGGACCCCGGAGCCCACACTGTCACCCAGCTCCGGGCCAATTGTGATTTGCCCACTTTCCTGGGCCTCAGGGAAAGGAGATGGCTCTTCCGTTCATTTGATGGGAAGAATAATACTCATAACGTCTAATGTTTACGAGCCGTCTCTGTGCCAGGCTGTGTATTAACTTAAGGCAGCCCTCTTCTGGTCACTCTGACATCTGGGGAAACGGAAGCCTAGAGACGTTTCTTGCCCAAGCAAGTGATGGAAGCAGCGTTGGGACCCAGGCGGCCAGGCTTGTGCTGTTTAAGGGTCTATCCGTGGACACCAAGCTGCCTTCTCACCATCTTCCAGCTTCTGTCTGCCCTGCCACCCTGGGCCTCGCTCAGCCTCAGTCTGCACATCTGTGAAATGGGCCTTTGAGACTAGAGGCCCTCTGAGGTCTTTCCCCAGCCCCTCCCTGGCTGACCCCCAGATGGCCTCCTTCCTAAGACATTACTGTGTCTGAGGGTCCCCTGGGAGGCTTCGCCCGGTCCTCCCTGGACCTGGGACTCCCATCAGCTCAGCCAGTCCCTCCCCAGAGGTCACCAGGAACCCAGCGTGGCATCCAGCACCGCTGGGGATTTAAATGGGTCAGTTGGGGAAGAAAGGAGGAGGGAATGTGATGCCATTAATTGTGCCCCTTATCTCCTGTTTCTATGCCAACCAGACGTTCCTGGGCTTGACGGGCTTGTGAATAATACTCCGGCTGGCCTATCTGCCATCGACAGCCTCCTCCTGGAGGCAGCTGTTGCCTGGCTGATTGGTATCGCCAAGCCCATGGACCCGGCCCGGCCACACTCGGGCCTCTGCCGGCGCTCCTGCCCACAGGCCACCATACTCCTGGGTATTCCTGGAGGTACCCAGTGCTCCTGACCCCATTTCACAGAGGGGGAGACTGAGGCTACAGCGCAGGTCTGCTCTCCAGACCTCGTCTGCTGCTCTGCATTCAAGCAGGAGTGGCCCAGACTGAAGGGAAGGGGGTCCAGAACCTGCAGAGGGCATCGCCTGCCCCTGGTGTGGCTGCGCAGTCTTGGAGAGTCCCGCCACTCTGGCCGCAGATGACCCCATGGTGAGAGGGCAGCCGCCTGCACACTGCAGGCAGGGCGTGTGGCCTTATGAGCCCAGGGAGAGCCAGCAGCCGGCAAGACTGAACTCGTCAGGGCCTGTGTTCAAGTCGAGACTCAGGGGTCAGTCCCGTCCCCACAGAGTGTGCCTGCCGGAACTCACTGTCAGATAAATGACGGGACAGACACGCGGCTCAAAACGGACACGGCCTTCTCACACCCCAGCTCTGTCTGCCCTTACACACGGAACGCGGGGCAAGGCCTGCCCAGGTGAGCCTCTGTTCTCCCATCTGCAAAGTGAGCTTAGTGATGGTGCCACCTGCGCTGCTGTGAGATGGAAGGAAAGTGCCTGTTATCCGAGACAGCTGCCACCAGCCCGCTCCCCTCTCCTTCCCCTGCGCTTCCTCCCCTCCCTCCTTCCTTTCCCTCCTCCTTTTCCTTATCCCCCTCCTCCCTCTCCTGTGCCTCTTACCCTTCCTCCTCCCCTCCTCTGCTTCCTCCTTCCCTCCCCCTCTTCCTCCTCCCCTCCCCCTCTTCCTCCTCCCCTCTCCCTCTTCCTCCTCCCCTCCCCC